TTGTGGTTGTAATGTGACAAAATATGGAAAAGTTCAAGGGGTATGAATACTTTTGCAAACCACTGTATGTATGAATCACTTGGGTTGTTACCGACTTCTGGTGAAAATTTCATGTCATTAGCACCTCTAGTAATATATTTACTGAGAAAAATGGTGACGTGTTCAATACTTATTTTACCCGTTGTAAGCATAATGGAAGTTTCAGTTCTGATCCCAGATAAAGTTCAGGTTAAAAACTGGTTTTCATTATATGCTGATTTTATGTTTTATTAATCACAACAATTTAGGAAAATGCTCCTCAGATGTCTGGAAAATACAGTGTTTTGTGTAAATCTTACCAGGAGGAATCCTCTTATACTGTTCACTGTTTTAATTGCACAACTTGGTTTCTAAAGAGAAAAAATTAAATAAAAGATTAAAAAAACTAATTTAAAAAGTTAAAATAATAATTAAAAAACCATTAAAAAACTATTTATTTGGTCTTTGTAAATTGTCGGTAAGATTTAGAAAACTGCACAAGAGGCACCACCTGAAACCCTACTTAGGGCACCAAATTAGCTAGGGTCAGTTAGATTCATCTAACCTCCTGATCAAAAGTCTGGTTAGATCTTTGTAAATATGATCTGCTGCTGTTTCTTATTCACTGGAGGATAAAAATAAATCTAATTATTTAAATCAATACAGTTTCTCTGTAAATGTTTCTTTGCTCAAATGTTATTAAATCTGTAGAGAAGATGTTCAATAAACTCATAAAGCAAACACCTTGTGTCAGGTGGACTGATGTAACCTGGAGGTCTGTGTGTTTTTAAACTCTGCAGCGAGTCGGGAGCTGTCAGTCATAGAGACCGGCCTGCAGTCCTTCACTGGATTCTCCTGTATTCGTTTCATCAAGCGCACCAGTCAGAGCGATTACCTGAGAATCCAGTCCCACAACGGGTAACAACAGTCTGTGTTTGTGTCACCGTGTAAATATCTGTGTTTTAGGTTAGATATCAAAATCTACTCCCCAGTTGAAAGTTTCTGTTTCTTATAAAAATAACAGGTGTTATAAACTATAAAAGCATCTGAAATTATAAAACACATCACTGTTTTATAAACACTGAAATGCATTACAAACTCGAACAGATTTGGTTTTTAAAGAAATTCAAAAGCATTTTGTCGATTTTATTTACTTTTGGTTCAGACCTGAAACTGAAATGTGTTTTTGTGTCATGGTTGGATCAGGTTCACTTTTAAATGAAACTAAAAACTGACAAGGCAGCCAAATTTGCAGTTTTTGGAGGGAAAAATGAAGGAGAAACCAAAATCAGGTAAAAAAAAATAAATAAATAATTAAAAAACCAACTGGACTCCATTCTGTAGCTGAAAAATTTGGTTTCTTATCTGAGGAGCTTTCTGAATTCAAAACATGAAACTGACTGAATATCAGGCTCAGACATTATGATGATCCACTGGTTTCTGGCCTGAACTCTCAGAGCTTATTTGGGCTGAAGCTGATGAGTAGGTGAGCTAAAATGAGAGTAGGCGTGGCAGGGCTGAGGACAGACACACAGGAAGGCAACAGAACAAACTAAACACAAAAAACTGAAGACCACAAGAAACAAATGTGAAAAAAAGACAACAAAATGATAAAAATAAACTATTTTGGAAGGACTGAACTGAAAATGTCTCAAAACTTTAAACTTTGGAAAAAAAGGAAAACAAAAGGTAGATGTGGCAGCTAAAATGTACAGGAAGTGAGGTAAAAACACGAGGAGCCATAAAAAAAACCAATGCTGTAAAGGTGGAGGAGGTACACTGACCGGGGGCTGATGACCTGCAAGTAGGTGAAAGTGGGAAGAGCAAAACAACAGAACACACCCCCTTCATGGGATCAATAAAGTATCATTTATTCATTCATTCAAATAAAATTAAACTAAAAAAGATGACTTAAAACCAACAAAAAGACATTTTCTGACAGTTTGTAGAAATAAAAATGGTCAAAATTCTGAAAGAATCAAAATATTTTACCATCTATTTGTGTTATTAATAGATAAAATAAAAAATGCATTAAGTTAGGATTTAAATAAATAATGTTTGTTTGTTGCATCACAGTAACCTTTCTGACTTTATGAAACTGATATTTAATATTTAATCAGAAACGTCAAACTGATCAAGTAACTTCTAGATTTATGCTTTTCACCAATAACTTGTAACTTTTTGATGACAGACCTGAAGACACTTGTTAATGAGTCCCTCTGCTTTAATTCATGTTTTTTTTCTTTCCCCCACAGCTGTTACTCTTACGTTGGTCGCCTTGGCTCAGCCCAGATTGTGTCTCTGGACCGTCAGGGCTGCATCTACCACAACGTCGTCCAGCACGAGCTCCTGCACGCCCTCGGCTTCAACCACGAGCAGTGCCGCTCTGACAGAGACCAGCACATCCGGGTCCTGTGGGAGAACATCCAGTCTGGTGAGAGTCGGGGTCTGAACACGAATCTTCCTGGAGAGGGGGGAAGGAGACGAGCGCGTACAGCTGGAGCTGGATGGGGACGTCTGAAATCAGCAGATATCCCGGGAGGTTTCAGACCATGTTACACAAGCACTTATGAACTGTGCTGTGA